ACTTCATGTTGACAGTTTGCATAAATTTACTTTGAAACTTTTGAATACATTTTTCTGTCAAAACTTTTGTACTTTTGTTATAAAGTAGATTTTAAATGCAGTAAATCTTCCCCTTGTGAATGTTACAGAGATTGTTGGTGAGAGACTTGATGTGTTTATACTTTATGAGGATTTGAGTTTGGTCCCCAAAAGGAAGACGAGTCCCCACAGTGTGAGTATGTAAACATAATAATGTCCCCACAAGTTGATACACACAGCCTGTGTCTGATCTGATGAAGGCTCTCTGTTAGCTTTGGTTAGCAGCTAGCTCTCCTCCTCCCTCCCAGGAAGTCTCAGTTTAAAGTTGGTTAATAATGGATGCTGTTTCCATGGAGATTAACAAGTTGAAGTTAACCTGCAGTGTGTGTGTGTTTCTGACTTAGGCTACCTTCAGGGACACATTCAGACTGAAGTGAATTATTGTCCAGCTCAGTGGTTGGCAGTGACAGAGTGTGAGGTCAGCCGCCCCCCCCAGGCTGTAATAACCCTTCACGCTGATGTCACTCTGCCTGCACCAGTCAGATGATCAATAATCAATATCAAAGGAGCTGCTTATATAACAAAGTACAGTCAGTGACCTTTGACCTCTGCTGACACAACTGTTGTTCAAAAGAATCCAACCAGCAGCTTCATCAGGTTAAAACTACTTCCTGTCTCACCTGTGCAGCAACTATTGATAATCGATTGGTTGTTTCAGTCATTCTTCAAACAAAAACACCAAATATTTAATAATATCTCATCATATTTCATTCTTCCGGCATAGCAACCAGCTTACAGTCTCCTAGCAACCGTCTGCAACACCTACAACTCGCAACTACAGTCCTAACAGCCCAAAAGACATAGCAACCACCTAGCAACCACCTTTAACCCAACCCAAGCACCCAGCCCCTCACCAACCACTGTGAACGCCATAGCAACCGCTGTGAACGCCATAGCAACATCCCACAAAACCCATATTCACCACCTGTTCATATTCTGAGGTATAAATGCGCAAAACAATTTTTCCTTTTCTTTGAGCTCTGTCATGGGGCTTTTTTTACTGTCTCGGTTGACGTTAGCTTAGCATTTTTACTAGCGTTAGCCAACACACCCTCCTCACGCTACTCCCTGGTGACAGACAGACAGGACGGGTTCAGGGTGTAAAATGTGTAATAACACAGTGAAAACTGAATAAAGGTACCGTATTATTGATCCCATTAAACTGAGAAATCAATCACAGATCATTTAATAAAAACAAGAGAATGTCAACCGTCTCTAACTCTGATGATACTTCTGCTTTTAATGTCAAGTTTGATTCTGTTCCCTTTTTATCAGGTTTTTACAGTCAAGTCAAATTTACTTTGACATTTATGTGTAACTAAAATAATCCTGAAACTTTGTACAGTATAAAGAATATAAATGTAACTGTGTACAGCTTCACATTACCCTTATCATCAGTTCAACAGAGAACTAAATCTTTATTATTAACATTTTCAATGACTTAAAGAAAGAAATTATCACTATTTTCTTTTGTATTTAGTTAACAGCAACGAAACGTGTTGTATTGATACAGTTAGTCAATGTATTATTGATAATTAATGAATAATTAGATGGAAAAGTTAAAGTGCAGCTGAAACCTGAAGAGAAACAGAAACTGTGGACTGTCAGAGGAAGTTCAGTGTAAAGCAGATGTGGTCAGTGTGAGTGCGGTTTCTGGTGTCAGTCAGGGTTTCTATTCCTGGTGGGACAGGAAGTGGAGCTGCTGACAGGACGCCGTTCACATGAAGCAAACACTCACAGACACATCCTAATATGACTGCGCTGACGTCTGATTGGACAGACAGACAGCGAGGAACTGACCAGCTTCCAGAAAAAGCTATGACACCCACTGATGATTCATATCTCTAATTAAAAAGTGGAACTTGAACGCACCACGAGACTCAAACAACCTGCTGACAGCAACTGACAACCCCCCCCCCAATGATTATTATTAATATTACTTACTAATAATAACAACAACAATAATTATGGACCGTAAAGTCTGACGCGAGAACCCGGTGAAGATGTGGGTGGGGTTTCTTCCCTGTTCTAGAGTACCCCCAGGAACCACAAACATCAAGATCATCATCCCTGATGGATTGACGTACTGCAGTAGATAACGGTTCTCTGACGACGTACTGCAGTATGACGGTTCTCTGAGGACATACTGCAGTAGATAACGGTTCTCTGAGGACGTAGTGCAGTAGATAAAGGTTCCATGAGGATGTTCCACAGTAGATAATGGTTCTCTGAGGACGTTCCCCAGCAGATAAAGGTTCTCTGAGGACATCCCGCAGTAGATAACGGTTCTCTGAGGACGTACCGCAGTAGATAAAGGTTCTCTGAGGACGTTCCCCAGCAGATAAAGGTTCTCTGAGGATATCCCGCAGAGAATAAAGGTTCACTGAGGACATCCCGCAGTAGATAAAGGTTCTATGAGGACGTACTGCAGTAGATAGCGGTTCTCTGAGGACGTTCCACAGTGGATAACGGTTCTCTGAGGACGTACTGCAGTAAATAAAGGTTTTCTGAGGACGTACTGCAGTAGATAAAGGTTCTCTGAGGACGTACTGCAGTAGATAACGGTTCTATGAGGACGTACCGCAGTAGATAAAGGTTCTATGAGGATGTTCCACAGTAGATAATGGTTGTCTGAGGACGTTCCCCAGCAGATAAAGGTTCTCTGAGGACATCCCGCAGTAGATAACGGTTCTCTGAGGACGTACCGCAGTACATAAAGGTTCTCTGAGGACGTTCCCCAGCAGATAATGGTTCTCTGAGGATATCCCGCAGTAGATAAAGGTTCTCTGAGGACATCCTGCAGTAGATAAAGGTTCTATGAGGACATTCCGCAGTAGATAAAGGTTCTTTGAGGACGTACTGCAGTAGATAACGGTTCTATGAGGACGTACCGCAGTAGATAAAGGTTCTATGAGGAAGTTCCACAGTAGATAATGGTTCTATGAGGACGTACCGCAGTAGATAAAGGTTCTCTGAGGACGTTCCCCAGCAGATAAAGGTTCTCTGAGGACATCCCGCAGTAGATAAAGGTTCTCTGAGGACGTTCCGCCCTGTCTTTGGTGCAGCAGTGAAACAGGAGCTCCCTGCAGCTCAGACTGAAACTTGACTCCAGCAGAACAACGCTGTAGAAAGTCGAGGTTAAACTTTCTGTTTCCAGTTAGAACCCAAACAACAACAGAACCCGGAGGAACACAACGACAGATTCTACAGAGCACTTCTGAAATATTCTTCTAACTACTGATTGATTTTTAAATATCTTCAGTTCTCAGGGAACTGGGTTGGAATGAGATGGAACGTTTTTGGACAAACTGGAACCAGACCACGTTCTGTGTTTATGACTGTGGTGATTGATTGATTGATTATTACTGATCAATTGTTCTGGCATTCCTCAATGTGAAATTAGTCTCCAGCTGAAAAAGCTGCACTGTCCCTTTAAATCTGTCACACCTCTGTCAGTTAACGAGGGTAAGAGCACTGATGACATCACAGAAACACACCTACAGGCAGACAGACAGGTGCTGTCTCACTCTGACGCCCGTCTCCATGAGAACGCTGTCTGTTTCTCACATGATGGAGAGCATCACCCCGTTACCGTGGCAATAATTAAAGGTGCTAACGAGGTGACAGCAGTCAGATATCTGTCAGGTGTCAGTCACCTGTAGGCCCCGCCCCCTCAGACTCACCTCTTTCTCACAGATGAACAGCTGATCTCCCCTCAGAACCACGAAGCGGTTCTTCCAGATCTCTCTGAAGATACCTTTCCCGCAGAACTTCCGGATCCAGCCCACCTTATCGGGCTGAACGTGCTGCTGCACCAAGTCCTGCTGGCCCTGAAACAGGAAACAGGAAGCTGTCAGAGGAGCACCGCCAGAGTAAGTTCATTTTTACTTAAATAAAGAACATTAATAAACTCTAAAGGGAAAAACATCAGCCTGTTTTTTAAGATAAAGTCAGAACTTTTATCTTAAAGGACATTTAAAGAACTCTTCAGGTAAAAGTTGTGACGCATATAATCATTATTATCAATATTACAGCATTAAAATATAAAAATAAAAGCAGTACAAATATTATATTTATTCACTATAATCAGACTTTCACTTGATACTGATATAAATATGATATAATAGTACTCATTAACGGTCATTAATCGTTAGTTAATAGTTTCCTCATTAACTCAATTATTCAACTTTAAATCCATGAGACCCTTATTCTGAAAACCGGAAGTCTGGTCATATGGCAGCTTGCGGCTGTTGCTTTCAAAATAAAGGTTTTAAACTAATCCTTGAGGCTTTTGTTCCTCGAGCTCCGGTTTAACGGAATAAAGCGGACCGAGAGGAGCCGCCGGTGGCCGGTGTCGGTGCCGGTAACTCTCACCCGTTTCCCGGAGTTGTTCTTCTTCATGCTGGCGGCTGTCAGGCTGCCAGCGGCGGGATAATGACGGTACTTCACGCACTTTCACGGTAACTCCGTTATTCTTCCACAATGCGCCGCAGACCGGCGGGAGAGCGGAGGATGGAAGCGGGATAAAAGCTCTTAAAGTCCGGCAGGGAGGACCGGAGCCTCCGCCGCAGCTCCGCCGCTCCTCAGCTGTTGATCCTCGGTGAGACTCTGCTCGTCGCCCCGCTGCTCCGTGCTTCTGCTGCCGGGCTCCGCTGCACTCTGACCGGCCAGGAGCTGCTCAGTGAGTCGGTGTCCGGTTACTCCTCCTCCTCCTCCTCCTCCTCCTCCTCCGGACTCCCTGCTGGCTCAGCGGCTCCTCGGCAGCCCCACAGCGCCCCTTACAGGCAGACACCTCCTGGTGCCTCCTTTCTTCCCTTATAGTCCTACCTCTGTGTTCACAATAATACTGCAGTAAAAGTACTAAGACCGAGTACAAATACTCTGTTACTGCAGTAATAGAGTATTTGTAGTAGTTTTTAAAAATACCTAAAAAAATGTACTTTTGTAGAGAAATCCTGAAGTACTATAATAATAATAATAATAATAATAATAATAAATATGATTGTTGTTAATAATAACAATAATAATTATTATTGTTTTAACAATAATATTTATAATAATAATAATTATAATAATGTGTGAAACTGTGGGTCTCTAGGAGTTCCCTGTCTGTATTAATGTCAGTATTAGATTAGAACCATGAGCAGCTCGGAGTGAAACAGGTGAAGGTGTCTGTACAGGTGAGTTTGTTCCTCAGCACTCACAGTTTGATTCAATCTCCTACTTTAGTTAATGAACATTATTATTGTATTATTGATGTATTGATTGATTATTGACAGAAGGTTTAAGATTAAAAACATCTATTGTCCAAATGAAACCACTTTTTATTACTAATATTTAATTTATATTTACTAGTATTATTATTATTATTATTATTATTATTAGTGTTAATGTGTCTATTGTCTCAGCTGCTCAGTGTGTGTGTGTGTGGGGGGGGGGGGGTGGGGGGGGGGAGGTTGAGGGGTCAGTCTGGATCCAGTCACAGACCAGATCACTGTAATCCAAAGTGGTCTGGATGCTGACAGATGTTTCAGATCTGATCTGATCTGGAGTCAGTTTCACTCTGAGCTCAGATCATCAAACTGGGTCACAGTGAGAGACACAGGCTGATCTGCAGATTATCAGCTGACACACACGCACACTAAAGGCACATCAACAACAACAGCAGCAACAACAACACCAGCAACAACAACAACAGCAGCAACAACAGCAGCAACAACTGCAACAACAACAGCAGCAACAACTGCAACAACAACAACAGCAACAACAACTGCAACAACAATAACAGCAACAACAGCAAAAACAAAACTAACAACAGCAACAACAACAACAACAACAGAGAGACAGAGACAGACAGACAGACAGGTGCACAGCAACAACAGTAGCAACAACTACACTAATAGTAGTGACTGATGATGATGAACATGAAGAAGATGATGACGACAACAACAGCAACGATTGGGGACAATGAGCAGTGACAATAGTAATAATAGTAACTGTAGTAATAATAATAATAATAATAATAATAATAATAATACTATCAGTGATATTAGCAATGGCAATCTAGCAGGACCATGGCAGGAGGCTCCACCAGGATCCATGAGAACCTGCGAGACGAGAAAGCACAAGAACTCCGGGGAAGAAGTGGAGTTAGTAACATGCATTAATGGAACATGAATGAGTGCAGAAAGAGAGAGGAAGAGAGGAGCTCAGTGCACCATGGGAAATCCCCCGATAGTCTAGGCCTATAGCAGCATAACTAAGGGATGGTTCAGGACTCACCTGATCCAGCCCTAACTATAAGCTTTATCAAAGAGGAATGTCTTAAGCCTACTCTTGAATGTGGAGAGGGTGTCTGCCTGGTGATGTGACTGTGCTGCCCCCTGCTGGTCCTGTTGGTCCTCACACACTCTCCAGTGAGAACAACATCTGTATGAAAGTGAGCTGTGATCCTGTTCCATGTCTTTACAGACTAAACCGCAGTGAGACTGTCTCACTGCACACATACAGCTGATGTCACTTCCTGTCTGACTGCAGCCACAGTGCACCTCTAAGGACTCCATCCCACCCTAACCCTTAACCCGAAACCATCAGTATGATGTTCTGATTACTGCGACATACAAACTTATAACAGAATAACTGTTGTTGTTATTGTTTTAACTCTAAACTTTCTCACTATAATGAGATCTGACTCCAACAGGCTGCCGTACATTCACAGGCTAAACATAAGTTTTGAGCTTTTCTGAGATTTTATTGTTAACACCACTGACTTGCAGTCTCTCTAATGTCCAGCAGGGGGCAGCTCCACTCTGATAGTATTGGGTCTTATGGAGCCTGAATGAATGAAACCAGAGTTATTAAATCAGCTGATTCATTAGAAAACTGAACCTGCAGACAGAACTGAGGGTTTACACTCGCACATGCAGGATCAATTCAGTTCAAACAACGTGTGACGTCACAGTGACGTCATCGGGCTCAGAGGCTGCAGATGTCTGGTACAAACTGGAGGCTCTGCTGAAAGACACTATCTAGTTGCATCATGGGAAACGTATTGATCCATGATGATGAAGATCACAAACGCTTGAGGAAGAAGAAGTTACACCTGAAGCACAGAGCAGACAGACAGACGGACGGACGGAGGGACGGACAGAGAGACAGATGGACAGACGGACAGAGAGACAGATGGACAGACGGACAGACAGACAGACAGATGGACAGAGAGACAGACCGACAGACAGAGAGACAGACGGCCAGACAGACAGACAGAGAGAAAGATGGACAGACGGACAGACAGACAGACAGACAGGAGGAGGAGGAAGAGCAGTGATGATGGAGATCAGATTAACCTGCTGCCTCTTATGCAACCGATCAATTATTGATCAGTGAAACCAGTTTCAGCGTCACTGATTTCTGTTCTTTAAATATAACATTATAGAACTAATATTATACAGAGCAGGTCTACCTGTATGTATCTATTAATATACATAAATATCTATAAATATATATAATAGGTATCAATATCTTTAAATATATATAATTAGTATCAATATATATAATCGGTATAAATATCTTTAAATATATATAATCAGTATCAATGTATATAATCAGTATAAATATATATAATCAGTATCAATATATATCTGTATAAACATCGCTAATCAGGATCAATATATATCAGTATAAATATCTAAAATCAGTATAAATATATATAAATATCTATAATCAGTATAAATATATATAATCAGTATAAATATCTGTAATCAGTATAAATATATATAATCAGTATTAATATCTATGATCAGTATAAATATGAATTAATATCTATAATCAGGATAAATATATATATCTTTAATCAGTATAAATATATATAAATATCTATAATCAGTATAAATATCTATAATCAGTATAAATATCTGTAATCAGTATAAATATATATAATCAGTATTAAAGATCAGATAAATAGAATAAACTATAATCAGTATAAATATATCTAAAAAATAAAATATATATAAGTATAAATCAGTATAAATATGAATTAATATCTATAATCAGTATAAATATATATAAATATCTATAATCAGTATAAATATATATAAGTATAAATCAGTATAAATATGAATAATATCTATAATCAGTATAAATATATATAAATATCTATAATCAGTATAAATATATATAATCAGTATTAATATCTATAATCAGTATAAATATATATAATCAGTATTAATATCTATAATCAGTATTAATATCTATAATCAGTATAAATATCTATAATCAGTATTAATATCTATAATCAGTATTAATATCTATAATCGGTATAAATATATATAATCAGTATGAATATATATAAATAAATAAATATCCATAATCAGTATAAATATCTATAATCAGTATAAATATCTATAATCAGTATTAATATCTATAATCAGTATAAATATCTATAATCAGTTTTAATATCTATAATCAGTATTAATATCTATAATCAGTATAAATATATATAATCAGTATGAATATATATAAATAAATAAATATCCATAATCAGTATAAATATCTATAATCAGTATAAATATCTATAATCAAAAATTATAATCAGTATAATATATAATCAGTATTAATACAAGTATAAATATCTATAATCAGTATTAATATCTATAATCAGTATTAATATCTATAATCAGTATAAATATCTATAATCAGTATTAATATCTATAATCAGTATAAATATCTATAATCAGTATAAATATATATAATCAGTATAAATATCTATAATCAGTATAAATATCTATAATCAGTAAGTGAAAATCAAAATCAAAATGGCAGACTTTCCGTAGGGTTTCGGGTATGGGTCCAAGAGGCTTTTTGTACGTCCCAGCATGTTATACGTGCCTACCGAGTTTCGTACATATCGGTGAAACGTGGCGCCGGGGCTGCTTTTTAAAAATCCTGTAGGGGGCGCTACAAACAGGACAAACACGATTTTTGGTATGTGAGCTTCAGGCACTACTCTACACGTAACCTGTGAATTTCATATTCATACCTATTACGGTCTCCGCATAGGGATTTACCCTGCCACCAGAGCGCCACCTAGTGGCGGATTGTTGACACATTTTTTAGGGAGCCTCAGGGAGCCCTGGGGAAGCATCGTACCAAGTTTCATCTTAATCACATGTTCCAATGCTGAGATATCAACTTCTTCATTTTAAAGAGCGCCACCTAGTGGTGATGGCCTGAAATTGTGCACAATGCTTAAGGAAGACATGTGGAACTATGGACCGAAGTTTGGTGTCAATCGGAGATACCAATGTGGAGAAATGGTCCACTTCCTTTTTTGACGAAAAATCCACAGGAAGTGCTAATTTTATAACGCGCTTATTTTTTTAAATATCAAAATTCTGTTAATTACTTTATTATTAGGGTGGTCCCTAGATAATACGTGAAACACTGTGTGCGAATCGGACAAAGCACATAGGAGGAACACGCAAGAAGTAGTTTATCAACATTTTGCGCTCTAGCAAAAAAATTATAGGCGGAAGTGGGCGGGGCCTAAATGGGGAGATTCAGCTCCATTCACCGAACGTGTGGATAATATGAGGTTTTTGAATGTGCGACAAACTATGCAGAAGTTATTAGCCTAAACGCATTTTTTATGATAGTAGCACCACCTAGTGGTCAACCCCCGAAAGTGACGCATCTAGTATCCCCATTTTCACCAGGCCTGACAAGTTTGCCAAATAAAATTGAGTTTTCGTATATATTCAGGGGGGCAAAAATGCAGTCGAAGGGGGCTAAAAATAATAATAGGTAAGAAGAATTCTAGCAAGAACAATAGGGACCTTCCAGTCGATACTGGCTCGGTCCCTAAATATAAATTAATAGGATGTATATATATGATAAAGTGTGTCTGCAGTTAGAAGGACAACCT